CCCTTTGTACGAACAAAAGTAAGAGAAATTTAGGAGAAGAATACGAACATGTTCTTGCATGAGGCCCAATGTTACTTATAAATTATATATTTTTCTGGTATAAATCTGCTGTTTTACATGATTGTTGAATGAAATGAACATAATTATTAATTTATTGTAAAAACATGACAGATAATCTGTGAAACAGATCCAGTTCAGCTGCTGTTTATTAGTTATTTAGTTTCTATCGAGGCTGTGAGCTGTTGCCCTTTTAGGACGCCATTTCTGCTCCTCCAGTCTGTCACAGACACTACCAGTGGACGGTTTGGGCGGGGCTCAGTTTAGTGATCTATATATCTAAGTCTATGGGATTTATTTACTGTTTGGAACAGAATCATGTTCTCCAGTGATAGTTGCTGGAACTGATGTAGCTTATCAAAAGTTTCTTCATCCACAACTAACAAGGTGTTCCTTTTTTTAATATTTTTTTTCCAGGCAGTCGGGAAGCAGCTTTCACCTACGCTATAACGGCGGCGGGGGTGGCCCATGCCATCACGGCGGCGTGCAGCCAGGGCAACCTGAGCCAGTGCGGCTGCGACCGTGAGAAGCAGGGTTATTACAATCAGGAGCAAGGCTGGAAGTGGGGAGGCTGCTCGGCTGACATCAAGTACGGCATCGAGTTCTCGCGCCGCTTTGTGGACGCTCGCGAGATTAAAAAGACGCCACGTCGCCTGATGAACCTGCACAACAATGAGGCAGGAAGAAAGGTAAATGGCTCCTCAGCTCTGAGCCCTTCTTCTATGTCCTTTGAAAACTCTCAAATAAAAATACAGAGTTAAGGAGGAAAATAATGTTATACATAAAATCATCATTTCTCGAGTCAACTTGATCAAGGATGGCTGCTGCAGCCAATTGATTGTAAAACATGGCTACATGACAGAGTGATTCACACCAGCCCTGTCTAATCCACTTTAACCCAACTTTAGTTTGATTGCCTAGAAAGTCTGCTTTGATTGACGAGGTATGAATCGAGCTCTGACGTGTGAATGCCTTGCCCCCAAAGCAGGAAGAGGATCTTGCTTGACATCTGTTAATGGTGGACATCATTGCTTTAAAGTTGGATACACTCTGACTTAGTGCACACAGAGAAAATGCAAACTCCGTTCAGAAAAAAAACCTAGACTGGGAGGCAGTCCTGTAGCTACTCACTGAGACACCACAGCTTTAACCACTGCACCACTGTGCCACGAGAAACCTTTAGGGGTCATACGTTGCTGCAGACCAGGAGGAAGTTTTTAAAGGGATCCCCGATTAGTTGTAACATTAGATATTTGATAAACTTATATTTTAACTGTAAAACAAAGACTGCAAAAATACTGTAGACTGTTTATTTTTATCATTTTTAAACTAAAAGTTAAAAAATACAGTACACGGACGGGGCCATTTTGTTTACACGCAAAGCATTCTGGGTAAATGATGACGTGGATAGGTCCTCGGTGTGAGGCTGCTAGCGAGCTATATCCACCCTGAAGGTTAATCTTGGACAATATCTGATGATCGACTCTTTTAAATGAAACCAGAGAGCGTTGACAGAGAGGAGAAGGTAGAAATGACAGCCTGTAACTGAAAATATAGATGGAGGACAACAGAGCGGCAGCTTAGCCTGTTAGCCTTTGCGCTAGCACTGACGCATATTGCCTTATATGTATTAGCTCAGCGCTAGCACAACAAGATAAACTGAGGTCCTCCATCCATATTTTCAGCTACAGGCTGTCATTTATACCTTCTCCTCTCTGTCAACGCTCTCTGGTTTCATTTAAAAGAGTCGATCATCAGATATTGTCCAAGATTAACCTTCAGGGTGGATATAGCTCGCTAGCAGCCTCACACCGAGGACCTATCCACGTCATCATTTACCCAGAATGCTTTGTGTGGAAATAAAATGACTCCGCCTGTGTTAAAATATATGTTGCAGCTTGAAGACATCAGTCGACGAATGG